AATGTGCATTTGTGAAGGGTATGTTGGGTATTTCCGAAGGTTACGGGAGGAACCTAAAGGAACCAAGAATACCGAAATGTTCGTAATGTTAAGACGCAGGAAACGCAACTGACGGTTCACCATTCGGAGTTCGTATAAGCATCCTTATGACATTGGAGGTAGTCATAAGAGCGAGCATAAGATTGATGAAGGATAATCTGTGTCTCCGAGGGAAAGGAATTCCCGAGGACAGTACGAACACGCGGGGCCGTTAGTATTGCGCATCGTTGTAAAGAGTGAGGTCAACGTATGATATTCGTTGTGCCATCAGCTAGCGAGGCATTTGACAATACTCGATGGACTTGGCTTGGGTTCGGCCTTGTCCAAGATGGAAGGAAGATATTCGGATGCCGGTACGCATGGGTTGTGACCCCATGCAATGCATAGAGGGTTATGTGGGACATTCGGAATACATATGTCGCCAAGGCTTGGGCGACATGCAAGTATGACAGCTTGCGTGTATAGCTTGAGGATGTGGGCTATCGTGGATGCTAAAGGAATGAACGACAGAAGTGTGGGTAAACCGATGGTGTGTTGGATCGCTATGTCTTGACTTGGACATGAGCGAGCCATGAGTTAAGCATGCGACGTGGTCGATGCAGTTGACGTGTCTTATGCAACGCTTGATGTATGGGCGTCGAGGGTTCGTTGCCGGATGCTGAGTGATTGTATTGTCACATGGTAGTGTGACTCGTTGTTTAGGGGAAGACGACACTAGAAGGGGAACCTCTCGCGGAGTTGTGAGAGTCATGAATATCATGAAGTGGGAGAAGGCTGACTGGGATCTGAAGGAATCCTAGGCCGCACGGGTGTGCTTTGAGTGGCGAAATTTGTGTTTCGCTTCCGCCGCGCTGCGCCGCTCGCTCATCCCGTGACACATGGCATCCTATGATGCAAGAATTTTGTTTAAAAATAGCAAGTCGTATGTATGGCAATAATGTGAGAATGTGAAGGTGAAAATGTTTCACATTGGTAAGTTAGAAAACCTTGCAAGGGCTTATAAGGCTACTCTCCTCATTGCTAATAGGTTTTAGTGTGGAACATCAATTTGGTTTGTCCACGTGTGGCTGTTGGGCATGTGAGAATGTGAAGGTGAAATGTCCTATATCGGAAAGTTAAAAAACCTTGCAAGACATTAGAAGGTGTTGTGCTACTTTCCCCATTGCCAATTAGTTTTGGGGTGAAACCTCAACTTCCTTCAAATACAGCATTACCCTATAAACTAATCTTAAGTAAAAAAAAGGAAAAAAAAAAAAATCAAATATGGAGCATAATACCTGGTTTGCAAAGCCAACCCCAACACCAAGCAAGATGCGACCAGATATTAGCATGACGATATTAGTAGCTGCACCGCCTAGGGCCAAACCAGCAAGGAATGAGGCACCAGCTACAAGGACTGAAGGCTTTCGGCCGAATGCTCTGGTGACTGAAGAGGCAAAGAAGGAAGCTACAAGGCCAGCTATATAGAGTGAGGATGTAAATGTTGTCAAAAGTTGGCTATCAAATTTGCAGTAGTTGCTGGTTTTGGTGTCTTCTTTCATTTTTGTGTACACTTCTGGGAAGAATTTCTTGAGAAATGGCTCCATTGAAATCACTCCACCTTCATGAATTTATCAGGATTAGTGCTTCCACAATAAGTTAATGAATTGTTTATTTTTTATATTTATTTTTGGCAAGTATTACAAGAACTAATTCAATATATATGTGTTACTAGAGAAGCTGACTGACCTGAAATCCCAATATCATAGCCATAAATAATGCCTCCCATGGCAGCAACCATACAAGATATCACCACAAGCAGGGTGACCTTGCCATTATAATGCTCATCTTCGCTTGCTATAATTGCTAACTCTGCCATGGCTTCTTTTCTTTCAAGCTAACGCACCAGAAACAAAAAATATAGATATTGGTAAGAAAAGAGTTTGTAAGCGTATAGATGAAGACTATGAACAGAAGTCTTCCTTGGGTTGACCAAAAAAAAAAAAAAAAAAAAAAAAAAAGTCTTCCTTGGCTGCCATACATCATCATTAATAGTAGGCCTCAGCGTGGAATGTTCAAACCGAAAAAATCACTTAATTTCGGACTTCATTGGAGCATAAAAATAGTCCAAGAATAATAAAAGCAAATTGACATTTAGAAAGACAAAATGGTCCAAGAATTTTCAAGGGTTCTGATGGGTGCACGGGGATGGTTCCCCTAAAAGCAAGGCAAAAGATAAAGAAAGGCAGAATTGGAAATAATACATCAAGGATGGAAAAGCTGATAAGGATGAAAATGTAAGACACATGATAGCTATCTAACGGTTACTCTAGTCTAGACAGAAACCCTAGCCGCTCGAGTCCTAGAGGAAAATTCCATAGAGGGGGAGGAGGAAGAAGCGTCACTGCCCCTCCTCCCCCTCTTTTCTTCTTGTTTTTTCCTTTTTTTAGGTTAGTGTATAAGTTGATGCAGAACAGATGGAGGAAGCAATTGAAGAGGAGCTGGAGCGACGAGCGTGCAAAGGCAAATTGGGTGAAATTATAAGAGTAAATTACAGTTTAGTACCTTGTACTTACAACATTAAGGCATGTCAGTACCTGATTTTTTAATTTTTACAACAACATACCCTGAATTTTTAAATTTGTTACAATGTGGTTCCACCGTTAGACCATCTCCAACCATGTTGGGGCTAAACTCAAATTTTCACCCTTCAAAATACAACTATTCATGTATTTTCAGGACTCAAAATTTTTTTTCCTCCAACCTTGTAGACTCATAATTTGAGTCCGCAATTGCAACTTTATTAAATTGTTTAAGAATGATTAACCCCTAAATTTTGTTTCTTGTTAATTTTTCTTGACATTATTTTTGTTTCAACACTCGTGATTTAATTTTCTAAACATTTTAACCTAAAAAAAATAAAATTCCAAAACATAATTGAATTTCACTTAAAAAATAAAAATAAGTACAATATCATACGTATGCCCGGAATAATTCGAACTCTTCATTGAATTATGTAAGTGTGTTTAAATTATCTATGTATTTTTAAATAAACGACAATCATTAAATTTTGCCGTTGAGATTGCTTAAAATTCATCATGATTATTGATTACAAATATAGTTGTTGGAATTTTTTTTTTTTTAAAAAAAAAAAAAAAACAAACAAACAAACCAGCAATATCATATTTTTGGCACAAAGTTGCTGCCCAAACAGTGTAACCAAAACTGGGCCCAGCAAACATTGTGCAGCACATGGGCTTCAGTCAGAAAAA